ATGTGAATGCTATTGGCTAGCTCTCTTCAGATATTATAGACGTTCCTCAGAGTAAATAGAGAGAGGAAAATTGGAACCAAAAATACATGGGAAAAAGGAAATTAATCGGCAAAGAAGGTACTTTAAAGATACAGTAAAGCGGAGCTGAGTGGCTGAAGTGGGGCTGGATGTGGAAGCGGTGGTTTGCATGAGAGGCGAGGTGAGGCCTTTCTTCCACATCACAGAAGAGCTGTGGCGAGGGCGGCGAACGGCTATTTGTACAGCGGCAGGTGCGGGGACAAAATTAAAGCGCACAAAGAAAGAAGGGACCTGCCAGTGCAGCGCTTCCTCTGAAAGATGAAGGGGAAAAATGGTGTCTTCCCGAAAGAGGAAATATGACTTGCCAGAACAAATACATGCTGACTCCCAGTCGCTGTCAGATTGTGTAGATTCCACCATCCAGAATCCTCTGCAGCGGTGCGTGTACCCTGCTGATAGCGCTAGCGGGGAGAGCTCTAAGTGTGTTTCTGTAGAGATGTCCCCATTATTTAAACAGAGCCGGTATAATGAGTGGAGTGGAGAAGTAGAGAGAGAAATGACACTAGAACTTGGAGAAAGAGCTGGTGGGTGTTTAACTGAAGTCATGCTGTTGGCTTATCACATGTGATAATACATTCTCACTTACACCACACTCCAAAACATTCCCACTTTTTGAGCACATCCAAGAACAAACCTTCTACTGTGCTGATGATAAATGAACCATGATAACAATAGTTTCTACCAAAATACCAGTCTCAGCTTCAGACAGACCACCCACAGTCCCTTCACTGACCATCTGATACAAACTGTGCTAGATTTGGCATATGCTTTTAGCTATTGAAGGTATACTATAATTTTATCAGTTATTGCATTCCCTGATCATCATTTTTGCTGTTTTCCAGTCTATTCTTGTGGATAAACAACACGCAAACACTAAACAGACTCTTTTTGGTCACTGTTCATATGGTTTTGAGCTAGACACTCCAGAGTGAACTATATCTTGTGCTAAAAACCAAACATCTAGCTACATGAATACCAAAATCCCAGCTAACAGGGAACTTTCTTATTTGAATAACCTTCTGGTAGGGTTCAATGTTAACAGAATGTTCATTCAAAGTTATCTGGTCTTTAATGCTCTCCAAACTTTTGCAAAAACATTATTTATACCTTTTTTCCAAAACGTTTTAGTTGGATATTTGACTAGCATTTTTTAAATGTGACTACTTATTTCAGAATGTTCAGAGAATGTTCAAATGAAACATTCCCATGAATTTTGAAATTATAATATTGGAATGTTCACATAAAAAAGTTCAAATACTTTTTCATAACATACTGAGAACATTAACAAATCTTGGAACATATTTTTGTTAGCTGGGATACTAGTTTATATGATTATTTTTCTACGGTAAAACTTACCAAAATATTCTGAAAGCTTTTTATATGATTTGAAGGAGATCCTATATTAATAACTACAGTACATTTACAATTATGCATTTGGCAGACATTTTATCTATATCTGTTTGTATATATTTTATCAGTAGCAGCAATTTCTGTCAGGACCACTATCGTCAAAGATGATTGACAATTAGCATACAGTTTGGATTGGCGGTATGGTTCTGTTCTGGGCAAGAACTCCCTGCGCATCCATGCGGCCTAGCATGGATGAGAGCAGGGAGAGTCAGCTGATGCGAGCTTGACTAACGTGACCTGCCAGAACTAACGCTACGCT